TTTCATTATTGCTGACAATACTGTATTCTAATGTTTAATGTGTAGATATGAAACATTAATTTACTTACTGTAATTGAATCGTGGAGCAATGAGGTACACATAAACTTTTTAACGGTCTTGGGGCAAATGTCAAATTTTGTTTACAACTGTTGAATAGTACATTGCTTTTATTTTTAGTAATTCAACATGGTAATATTAAGTCATTCTAAAATCAATGGTCGTAAAGCAGACAATTTACTATAATGCAATTTACTTACTGTAATACATTTGCTGTTGTCTTAAATTAAAACACAAATGGATATTTAAATCTCAAAAAAATAAATAGAAAATTAACTTACCAACTATTGCAGATACTGTATATGTTTTGTTTGTCATTGCAGCACATACTAGTCTACTTGCATGTTGGCTTTTTTAAAGATGCAAAATAGTCCTTTGAGACAAAATGTATCTAGTGCAACCTGAAAATAAAGAAAGTTCTTAAATTAGTAAATAAATGTTCTGTATACCTAGTTTTTTAAATACAATGTATTTTGGCAGCCAAAAATACATGGTAACTGATTTTTATTTTATACATTTTTAACTTCTTATTTAAATCAAACAGAGTATTTTAAAACAAACCCAAGTAGATTTATTATATTCCTAGTTTGTAAACCAAACAAATAAAACTAACAATCAAGAACATTATTCACACGAAAATCAAGCTGGCCAGATGTCGAGTAATTTCGACCCAGGCTAGACTTTTAACGCTAAAAATGAAATTCATATAGCAAGGCATACATAGAATGTACAGTGCTAGCTAATGTTTAGTAGGCATTTATGCTATATTACTAGGAATAGACTAATAGTACTGTTTTAGGAAGGATAATCGAGCCTAAAACAACTTTAATTTTTGGTGCAAATATATTTCAATTCTTACCAAATGAAGATAAAATTTTGTGTTTTGTTTTTATACATTTAGACCTATTTTACATATTAAAAGATTGAATTAAAAAAAAATAAATAAATAAATAAAAACGAATTAAAAAGCGTAATTGCCCGTCATAATCATTAATTCCACAATCGAGTTAACGGCCGTTTCAACCAGACCATTTAGGAGGTCAAGCCTAGGCCTAGGTCAAACGGTCGTAGCCTAAGAAGGTCTCCTAGCCCGAGTTTATTTTTCTGTTTACAGTATTTAATTAGTGGGTGGGTTATGGATTGGAACACTGACTGTTAGTACCAGCAGCAGGCCTATGGACAACCTAGCTAAAATGAATTTATTAAAAGTGTATAAATAATAAGAAAAATGCAATTTCGAATTACCTATATGAATAGAATCGACAACACTTGAATACAGTACGCCATTCAGACATTCTTCTTGGAGGGTTCTTGTTAACTTTGGGTCTCCACATATTCTCCATCTCAATCTTTCGGTTGTCCTCGAACCTTATTTTATCTCTGGAACTATTGAATCGTCCAGGATACTTGTCTCATTTGTCTCCGTCCAGTTGACCAGAACCTATGCACATTTTCGTTTTGCGAAATTAATTTAACGAATCAAATTTAACACAACGCTTGCTGTAATCGACGATGAAATAATGAATCCCCGCTTGAATTTGAAATATGATCTTCTCTCTTCCTCACACCATCCTGGTGCAACCAATGATTGGGCATGCGACCTGATTTTCCAACGTCTCCACCATGACCCCCCTGGGATTTCACAAAGCATATTGGCAAGACTGTGATCACTGTGGTGATAATACGATTTTATCCTAGGTAATACCAGGTAGATGTACTGAAAAACCTTTTTTTACATCTTCCTGGTAATACTGTGATAACCTGCGAGGTAACTATAATATAGGCCTATAAAATATAAATATTACTATATTATATAACTATTGTTACATACATATATATATATATAAATATATATATATATAGCATGTTTAAACAGCAATTTTCAGGCTGTAAGTTGATCAATGTGTTTCACTACATAACACACTGAACCACACTGTGTTCACAGTGTGTCTGTTTAAACACACTGTGATTTCTTTTACTCTGTGTATTCCTTAAAATCACATTGTGTTCACTGTGTGCTTACTGTATAAACACACTGTGATTTCTTTTCGCACTGTGTATCCCGTAAATTCACACAGTGTTACAGTGTTCACTGTGTGTTCACTGTATGTAATTCAAAAACACAGAGTTAACACAGCGTTCACTGTGTGGACTCTATGTGAACACAGTGTGTACTGTCTGGACTCTATGTGAACACAGTGTGTACTGTCTGGACTGGTAGTTTTTTAAAGAAAATGTATTTGAAGTCACAAAATTGCATTGTTATTTTTATTTATGCTGTTGAAATAATTAATGCGGAAAAAAAAAAATTATTATTCCTCCATCAATATTTTTCGAATTTTAGACGTGGGCGATAATTTAATATTTTTTTCTATTTGCCCTTAAATGAGCATTCTTAATATATTTAATGCTGTTGTGTCTGGCAATTACCCATTTGCACTGTCTTCTGTTAGACAGTTGATGTTAAAAGTAGTTAAAAATGAAAATATAAATTTTCCGGGATTTGAAATTTTCTGGGAGATTGTTGCTGGCTTGCTGGAGTGCAAGATACTTCCCAATTCCTGGACACTCGGTCCCTTGATTTTTAAGGCCCCATAAAAAATTATTAGTTATCACCCCCTTCCCTCATCACTTTTGGGGAAATTATGATTTTTTTAATTTTTTTTTTTTAATCAACATATATTTATATTTCAAGCGGTCGTTTTTCCACTTGAAAAGCTCAGGATTTCTTGCAAATATGTTTACTGGTACAACAAAAGCATGTCTTTAAATATAAATTTAATTCCATTCTTATGACTTATTATATGTTTCCCTAACCATTGATTTACTTGTGAACATTAGTAAAAGTAGGGCGAGATTAGCCAAAAAGAAAAAACCTTCCTCCCTCCCTCCCTCATCAGTTTTTATTCTTTGATAAGGTGATAAACTAATAATTTTTTATGGGGCCTAATGTTAATTATTACTGCATATTAAAACCATACCTCCACACTAAATAACAGCGACACAAAAAATGTGATTGATTTTAAAAGAAGGCAGCATTCATCTATATTCATTATTCACAGACCACACCCGCACAAAACACTGAACTATAATTAAACACAGTTGATTACCTTTACCAAATTTCAGTACATTTATTCCACTTCACATGCTAAACATATTAATACAATGTATACCTATATATACTTCAACATTACAGTTTATGCTTAAACAATACAGTTTTGGTTATTATTTAGTAAAATACAGTACAAATACAGTACTGTAAATAGAAACATTAATGCAACTCATTACTGCAATTTAGTAGCTTCACATATATTCATTACAACGAATTGAAGTAAGAATATGTATGATACGAACATACATGCATAGTCATAATACATAAGTGCACCCTCTAATTTGAGATCCCACAAATTCAAGACCACTATTTTAAATAACCAAATAACAATCATCAATCTTTTAACACTAAGGTAACCCTCTAATTGGACACCCAACCCAGAATCCACCCTAAATTTTCAGGTCCCAGAGTTGTTTTTCAATATGAGGGTGAACTGTAATATATTATAGTTCAAATACAATGAAATAAATTGTATATTAAGATTAATGTAATATACATATCAAATGTGATGTACCAACAGATTTTCTGAAAGGACATAAGTATAGACATTTTCAATCTTTAATATATATGGCTTGATCTCTACTTTTCAGTGGTGGGTCCAGGAATTTGAATAGAGAGGGACTTCGACAAAAATTAAGTAGTGTTGATGTAGATTCACATTATTCATTATATAACAAGTTGATGTAAGAGCATATATGATGCAAACAGACATACATAGTCATAATAGATATGTACTTATATACTTTTTAGTTAAAATACAATGAAATAAATAATATATTAATTAAGATTTAATACAAATAATAAATAAATACTATAAATATCAGCTGTGATGTACCAACTGATTTTCTGAAAGACATAAATATACACATTTTCAATCTTTTATA